GAGGAAGAAACCTTCAGACGAGTGAAATGTGTGCCCTGACTCCTCACTCCTGGACAGGAAGCCCTCTGGAGCCCCGGGCGATGCCAACAGAGGAGGTCAGACGCCAGGTGTTTGTCACACAGCTGGCACAGCTGCACCTTTTTAGTCTCTTAGCTAATTTTAGAGGCAAAAATGTCACAAAGGTGACTTTAAGTAGCCTCTCCTTTGTCTAAGAAATACCAAGCTGGACATGGGCCGGGAGACGAGGGCAAGGTCTGACTGACTGCATCTGCCCAATTCAGAACCTGGCTCAGGGAGCTGAAAGCAACTGCACGGTGACCCTCTGGCCAGGGCAGAGGACAGGGCACACGCGCCCCTCGCAGCCCGCACACCACCCTGCCCTCTTGGTTCTCTAACTCTTTTGGCTGGCTATGAATGATGTGCTCATAATCATGGGGGGAAAGTCTGAAGATGCAAAGAAATGCAAAACAAGCTGTGATGCAAACGATGAGAAGCAGTGAACAAGCCAGTGCCTAGTAAGAAAACTGCTGCCAGCTAGGCCCTGAGCAGAGGCCTTAGAAGACGTCCTCAGCAATCTGGAGTCCTTTCGGCTTCACGCAAGGGAGGGTTGAGCTGGCTCCATGCTTGACCTTTGCCACTGTGGTGAAGGTGCGCTTTCAGGATAAAGTCACAGTTGGTGGTAGAGTTCATGGGGAGGAACACGTTGGCGCTTGCAGGGATCTTCAGCTTTCCATCGTCTGAAGTGATCAGGACCAGCTCACAGTCCTCCAGCTCATCCTTGTCCAGGATGCATGTGTCCATGGCCTTGTGGATGGTGGTGGGAGCCTTGTCCTGGCTGGTCTCCAGCATGACCTGGACAGGTCGCTGCTGTCCACGTCCAGGCTGACGTGGATGACGCAGAAGTCACCCACCTGCGGGTGGTACAGCAGCAGTGTGGAGCTGTAGCTGCAGACTGACCCCGGAGACAGAATACACAGAGGCTGTCCCTGGAGACACCTTCCCACGTCTTCAGGCCGTGGATGGTGTTGCTTTGCAGAGTGGAAAGGATGGTGTACAGAGGGGAGTCCTTCAGGACTCGCCATCTCCTGGCTACTTCGATCCAGGGCTCCCCCACGTGGGCCTTGGCCAGGGCCTTCATGCTCCAGTTCTGCAGGAAGGGGGCGATGATACAGTTGGTTGATATGGTTGGGTGATGGCACGGATGGTGGATGCCAGGTGCTCCTTGCCCTTCTTAACCTGCTGGAACCAGATGGAGCATCCATCAGTGCAAACTGCTCCTCCACCAAATCGGGAGGGAATAGCAAGATGTGAGCTGCTCCTGGCTTAGCCCATTCCCTGTGGCCACAGGGGGAGGCCGGGTGGCTCAACTGAGGGCCTGAGTCCTGGCACTGGTTCCAGCTCTAGAGTCTGTGACACAGCTCGCTCCAGCTCCACAACAGACACGGAGAGAGCTGGCCCCAGAGCTGGCTCTTGCTCTTGGTGCTGGAGTTGTCTCTGGCTCAGAAACTGGTGCCTGCTCCTGCTCTGGGCACTATTATTGGAGTGGATGTCTGTCTTGGTTACTTTTCTCTTGCTGCTGAGACAAAATACTGACACCCAAAATTAAGGAAGGAAAAGTTTATTTAGCTCACAGTCTGTGGAGGTTTCAGTTCACAACCAGCTGGCTCCAAGGCAGAGTGGCACACGGCAGAGGGCAGCAGTTCATGATGGCGGAAAACAGCAAAAGCAACAAAAGCAAAAAAGGTGGAGCAACAGCAAGCAGCCTCTTTCCCTCCCTTACACTGTATGCAAATTACCTACTGCAGGGCAGGTGTAACACTCACACCCATGAATCAACTGTAAACCCTAGAAGCCTGCCCCATGACTGTATGAGGTTTTGGGGAGACATCCAGACACAAACCATAACAATGTCAGAACTTATATTATCAGCCACTGGCTGCTCGAGGCAGGGAAAGTCTGGAGGTTGACAGAAACCCTCTGAGTACTGGTTCGGCCAGAGATATAGGAAAAGGGCACTGCTCTGGAAGGCAGGCACCAGGTGCTCCACCAGCTTCTCCAGGGTCCCTGCCTTTACGGCCCACACCTTGCACGTCTCCAGAGATTCAGGGCCAACTTACTCTCACGCTGTAGTCCTAGCTACTTGGGAGGCTAAGGCAGGAAGATCAGGACTCAAGGCAGGCCTAGGCAATGTGGCAAGACTCCCAAGTCAGCACTCTCCCTTGTTGGGCCCCGTGTGGCTGCTACACCTTGCACAGGGCAGTGGAGTAAAGACTACTAATCAACGCCTCACCAATCTCCTGCATGGAGCTCTCCAGGTGTGGCCCGTCCAGGTCGAGCTGTGTGAAGTTGTCAGCACCACAGGGCAGCTGTCCGGGACACAGACCCCTCGGCACGCAGCACCCCACATGCTGCGGCCCCACCGAGAGTCCGGGAACAACAGCTCGCACTGCTTGCAGCCCAGCTGCCGTGGATGGCTTGGCGCTGCAGGACTTGAACTGACTATGTGACCCAGGCTGGCCTTAAATTCACTTTGCAGCCTCAGGCTGGCCTCGAACTTGCAGTGATCCTCTTGCCTCAGCCCTCCAAGTGCTGGGATTATAATCACACTTCATATTGCCCAGCTGAAACACAAACGTTTGTATCCTTTCATCTAGCAATTCTACTTCAGGAAACCACAATGAAGAAACGATCAGCAAGAAAGGAAAGATTAGTGCATGAGAATGTTATAGCATTCTTTAAATTTTTTACCCCCTCTGTAGCTATAACAGCAATACATCTTCATTATAAAATGCTAAGAAAAGAGACTCTCTACCACCAGAAAAAAATGACTATTCATTTAAATAATCTTTCCAACTTTTGTTTTTTACTGAACAGTGATTGAACCAAAGAACTTTGCACTGGGCTATGTCCCCATCCCCTTTTTATTTCTTATTTTGAGACAGGGTCATTGAGTTACCCAGGGTGCATTCAAACTTGCAAACCTCCTGCTTCAGCCTTCTAGAGTACCAGAATTACAGGTGTAGGCTACCACACCTAGCCATAACACCATTTTTAATGGCTGCATAATACTCTACTGACTCAGTATACTATATTTTCTTTAATATTTTCATTTACAAGATCAACAAATGGGAATAATACAAATATCCAATGGTTAAGTTAGGATGAACATCTAATCTGTATAATACTACATAGCCATTAAATATATACACAAACCAAGTGTGGTGGCAAACATGTGTAATCCCAGCACTTGGGAAGCTGAGACAGGAGGATTGCCATGAGTTTGAGGCCAGCCCGGGTTACACAGTGGGTTCAAGGCCAACCTGAACTACTTAGGGAACAAACAAATTCTGGGCGGCAATACGCCCAGTTAGAGGCATAAAGTTGTCTGTGGGTAGAATTACAGGTAGCTTCTTTTTTTTTTTAACACTCTTTAAACTCTCTGCAATGAGCATGTTCCCTTGATGACAGGGTGGAAGAAGTGTAGGAGCCAGTCTACGAGCTTGTACCTGACCGATGGGTGACAAAGACGAAACGCAAAGAGACACAGAATTAGGATAAAATGCGGCAGGTCAAGAAGCTCCTGTCTCCCTTCAACAAAGAGCCCTGAGTGACAGGCACGCACTGGCTTTATTCAGCACAGGCACAAGCGATTAGACTGACACGGACTCATCTGTCTCCCTCCACCCACGGCACTGTCCAGGGAGGCAACAGGCGCTCAGCTGCTCTTCCTTTTCCCTATCGTGTCGGCACACTTGCGCCGCCCTACTCCTTAGCGCTCACAGCGGAGGCCACCTAGGCCTTAACCTTCCCACCCGGCCACTCCTGCGGAAGCTTACAGAGCAAGAGAAAAAACAGCCTGCGTCGTACACAAACATGGGGTCACTGTGACAGGTCCCATCTGAGCAGAGAAAAGCTGGCCCAGAGTAACTGGTCTGTTTCTCTATGGCATCTGGAGGGACAGCCAGAGAGAGGCAAAGAATTTATTTTCTCAACAGTGTGTGTGTGTGTGTGTGCGTGTGTGTGTGTGTGCGCGTGTGTGCGCACGCGCGTGCGCGCAAAGCTGGGGGCAGGGCCCAGGCTCACTCAGCCACGCTGCCAACCCTGCCATCAACTCTTTTATTCCCACTAATGTGGCACAGGGCTCAAGCCCCAGAACTCACGGGTGCCAGGCGAGTTACTCCACCACCAAGAGAAACCCCAAGTGGGCAACGCCTTCAATTCTCAACACAAGACTGATTTTCCTGGACCACTTTTTTTGGGGGGTGTTTTGGTTTGGTCTTTTTTTTGAGACAGGGTCCTACCTTGCAGTTCAGGCTGACCTTGAGCTCACTTTGTAGCCCAGGCTGGCCTTGAACTCAAAGTGATCCTCCTGGCTCAGCCTCCCAAGTGCTGGGATTATAGGTGTGCACCACCTCACCCAGCCTTCCTGGACCACTTTTATTCTTTCCTGTGCATACTATTTCCCTTCCCCTGACTTCCTGATTTATTATTCCAGCACTACCTTCTCTGGGCCTTGGTTTACTCATTTGTGAAACATCAATAAGGCTCAGATCGAGGGGCTGGGGATTTAGCTCAGTGGCACAGCGCCTGCCTGGCAAGCACAACATTCTGAGTTCAATTCCTGCTACCGGAAAAAAAAAAAAAAATAAGGCTCAGATCAAGGGCCAGTGGACAGAGTAAAAGTCAAACACCTTACTCCAGGCCTAGGCATGTGTCAGCCTTCAGAAATCAGTGGCTCCTCTTTCCTTTTTCTCACGTCCCCATAGTGACCCTCTCTTCACTGTCCCTCTCTTTGACTTGGTACCACAGGGAAAGGCCTTTGGGAGTCAGATCATATCTGCTTCCCAAACGTGCTTGCCCAGGGTGCTGGTTTGGCAGGAGTGTGAACCCCCCGAGGGCCCCAGAGGTCAGAAGCCCGGCCGGTTTCTAGTTCCTGAGTATCCGCAAGACTGGGCCCCAACTCAGACCAGAGGGAAGCGGGGAATGTGGGCCACACTTACCGTCATGGTGCTCGAGGTCACCAAGGACCATGTATAAGGAGCCCACCTGGGGCTGGAACGGCTCCACCAATTTGGTACACACAAGAACCTGGTGCTGATCAGACCCGTGCTGAGCCGTGAGGGTCACCCGGGACTGCATCATGTCGTACAGGCACAACCTGGGGCAGAGGACACATGATCGTTTCCATGCACAGAGAGCCAGCACAAAGCTCAAGAGGTTTTGGGAGGCCAATAAATCCATGGAAATTCATGGTAAGCCTCAATCTGATCTGAGAAATTAAAGTAGAAGCAACAAATCAGAACAAATGTTTTCAGTCTACATTGTGGGTTGTGAGATAATTTCCTATTAACTTCCTTCTTCTTGCTTTTAATTCTCTTACTGGTATCTTTTCTTTTGTTTGTTTTGCTTTTTGGCTTTTTGAGTCAGGGTCCTGCTGTGTAGTTCAGGCTAGCCTTGAACTCGCAGCAATCCTCCTGCCTCAGCCTCCTATTATGGTGGCAGGTAGCACCATACACAGCCAGAAGTATTTAATTTTGTTGATGTCCAAGTCCTCTTACCATTTTCCTTTCTACCCTCTCTCTCTCCCTCCTCCCTCCTTTCCTTCCTTTCTTCTTTTCCTGTACTGGGTATTGAACCTAAGAACTTTACACTGCGCTACAGTCTTAGACCTTTTTATTTTTTTTTATTTTGAGACAGTCTTGCTAATCTGCTAAACTCCCAGACTGGGCTTGAAGTTGTGATCCCCCTGCCGAAGCCTCCAACAGTGCTGTGGGATGATCAGCATGCACCACCATCCCTGGCTTTTTTCTTCCTTTTATAGTGTTTGCTTTCTGCATCTCAGCTAAAAGGCCTTTGCAGACTACAAAAATATCATGAAGATATGCTCCTGCTTATATTTGAACATTTTATATTTTAGCTTACATGACTGTAACGTAGTGTAAGTTTTATATATATATATGTTATATATATATATATATATATATATATAAATATATATATATATATATAGTGAGGCAGCGATCAGAGTGTTTTTCTGCCTACGACGATATCCAGTAGTCCCAACACCATCTGTTGAAATGACTATTCTTTCCCTGTTGGTTGCTAATTAAATTATGGTACAGTCCTGAGTCACTTAATGATGGGTAAGTTCTGAGAAAAGAATCCCTAGGCAAACTCATCACTGCAAATGTTATACAGTACAACTAGAAAAACCTAAGTGGTCGCCTACTACACATTTGTGTGGTGTGCCTATGGTTCATAGGGTACAAAGCTATACTTCATGTCATTAGACTGAATACCGCAGGCAATTGTAGTTGTAGCACAATATAAAATATTTTGTGTATCTAAACATATCCAGACATAGAAAAAGTACAGTAAAAACTAGATGATGGGATATTTTCAGCTCCATTATAATCTTTTTTGTTTGTTTGTTTGTTTGTTTGTTTTCCAGTACCAGGGATCGAACTCAAGACCTTGCGCATGCTGGGCAGGCGCTGTGCCGCTGAGCTAAATCCCTAGCCCCCTCCATTATAATCTTACAGGATCACTGTC